CTCACATTGATTTCCTGTGCGTGGGTGTTACCTTCTAGGTTAATTCTTTTTGATCTAACCTTTTCTCTAGTTCCTGGTCCCCTTTTCCTATTGGCCTCAGTTGCTTTTAAGGTATCTGCTTTAGTTTCTCTGCGTTAAGGGCAACAAATGCTAGCTAGTTTTTTAGGTGTCTTACCTATCCTCACCCCTCCCTTGTGTGCTCTCGCTTTTATCATGTGCTCATAGTCTAATCCCATTGTTGTGTTTGCCCTTGATCTAATGTCCACATATGAGGGAGAACATACGATTTTTGGTCTTTTGGGCCAGGCTAACCTCACTCAGAATGATGTTCTCCAATTCCATCCATTTACCAGCGAATGATAACATTTCGTTCTTCTTCATGGCTGCATAAAATTCCATTGTGTATAGATACCACATTTTCTTAATCCATTCGTCAGTGGTGGGGCATCTTGGCTGTTTCCATAACTTGGCTATTGTGAATAGTGCTGCAATAAACATGGGTGTGCAGGTGCCTCTGGAGTAACCTGTGTCACAGTCTTTTGGGTATATCCCCAAGAGTGGTATTGCTGGATCAAATGGTAGATCGATGTCTAGCTTTTTAAGTAGCCTCCAAATTTTTTTCCAGAGTGGTTGTACTAGTCTACATCCCCACCAACAGTGTATGAGGGTTCCTTTTTCCCCGCATCCTCGCCAACACCTGTTGGTGGTGGTGTTGCTGATGATGGCTATTCTAACAGGAGTGAGGTGGAATCTTAGCGTGGTTTTAATTTGCATTTCCTTTATTGCTAGAGATGGTGAGCATTTTTTCATGTGTTTTTTCGCCATTTGAATTTCTTCTTTTGAGAAAGTTCTGTTTAGTTCACTTGCCCATTTCTTTATTGGTTCATTAGTTTTGGGAGAATTTAGTTTTTTAAGTTCCCTATATATTCTGGTTATCAGTCCGACAAAGGGAAATTATGATGAAAAGTGGAAAAGCTAGTAGTAACAAGAAAAAGGAAGACTTGACTTAGATAACTAATTCCAACATGAGGAAAATGAAGAAAGAAGAAAACTATCATTTATTGAATACATGTTAGTAACTGCCCTAGAATATTTTATCTTATTAAATTCTCACAGTTTTCCCAATACTGTAAGACAAATGTCATTCATAATTTACAAAAGTAGGCTGAGGTGTACAAAAGTTAAGTGACTTGCCTACACATGCAAAGTCTATCTGAATGTGGCAGTTTTAGGATTGGAACCACAGTGAAGAACCAAAGCCCATGATTTTCCCACCATACTTCCACTGATATTAAACTGGCAAAAACAAGACATCTCAGAAGGACAAGAAAGAAAAACATCGTAAGAAGGCTGGAAGAAAACCAGAAAATTATCACTTGTCTCACTACAACAGAGCTACGTAGCTCTTTTAGAAAGTATGAAAGGAAAAAAAGTTTTTTCCTTAAAAGCAACTGAGGCCAATAGGAAAAGGGGAACAGGTACTAGAGAAAAGGTTAGATCAAAAAGAATTAACCTAGAAGGTAACACCCACACACAGGAAATCAATGTGAGTCAATGCCCTGTATAGCTATCCTTATCTCAACCAGCAAAAACCCTTGTCCCTTCCTGTTATTGCTTATACTCTCTCTACAACAAAATTAGAAATAAGAGCAAAATAGTTTCTGCTGGGTATTGGGGGGGGGAGGGAGGGGGCGGAGTGGGTGGTAAGGGAGGGGGTGGGGGTAGGGGGGAGAAATGAACCAAGCCTTGTATGCACATATGAATAATAAAAGAAAAAGGAAAAAAATTAGAAAGTATGAAAGGAAAAAAAGAAGTTTTTTAACACCAAAAATAGTCTTTCAATCTCAGAGAAGAGATGGGATTAGAAATGATCCCTTGTCTACAGTCTTGTCTTTCAGGTCCATCCCACACTGTCACCATAGTTCAAATTCTAAATTGCAAATCTCACCTTGGCACTCCTTCTCTCTTTATAATCACTCAATAACTCCCTATCACTAACAAGAAAACAGAAAAGAAAAAGGGTATCTAGTGAGCCTATATTCCTCAAAATAAAAGGAATAATATTTTTAAAAACAACTTCCAACTATAAATGCTTATTTTATAACACTTTATAACATTGCTTTACATTAAAGCCTCACTTTTTTCTCCCCCAAAATTGTAAAATAAGTGAAATTTCAAATGCCAAAGAACAACATTGACACCTTGTGGTGAACATCCTAAAGTATCACATATGACAATGAGTCAAATGGCTCCTAATTAAATGTCTGTTTACCTAAAAACAAACCTTTAATCCAGGAATTTTCAAGGGTTAAGAAACAAAAGTTCAAAAACCAACACACACTAAATGTAAATTTGGAAAGAGCTGCTAACACTTTGACAACACTGAAACTAGCCCAAATCCTTAGCTATGAACCAAAGGATCCAAATAAAATCACAGGTCATTATTTTCCCATAAAACAGTACAATACATCCACCTGAAGGAGTTTCAGGTGCTCCAAAGTCCCTGCTTCGTCAAGATTTCCTATTTTCTGTGACATTCTCAAACAAAAAATAGAGGGAACATATGCATCATAGTGGCACAGCACTTCAGTGAAAGTTGTTAACTAGAATATACTCTGAAAAATACACTATCAGGAGACCTGGGTTCTCATACTGAGTCCAACCAGCACTGAGAATTTCAGAATTAAATAGTAGTAGAGAATTCAGACTGTATATTTTCAAATAAAATTATAGATCAAGTAGCAACAATTTGATAAACCAAGAAATCATTAGGAAAAGAAAATGTATATATTTTTCAATGTCCCCATCAAGGGACAATAGTGCTTGAGTAGGGAGGAAACAATGGACCACAGTTTATGTGACAGGCACACAAATTTCCCAGCAAGCTCTTCACATCTATCACAGCAAAAACTATGGGCAAAGAGGAACCTTTAATAGAGCTGATGATACCTGTGACTAATGTCTGAGAGAACTCCCACAGAACATTCAATTTACTGACTTTGACAAGTACAATTTAAAGTTTCTAGTTCCAGAGTAACTCCCTGAGCTCTGGTAATGTGATTGACAAACAGGCATTGATCAGGTTCAAAGAAAAGTGTCTCTGTGAATTCCACAGTGGTGATGAGACGACCACTGTTAATAAAGCAGTTTGAATTGCTGTTGTACCTGCGGTATCTGGAAGGTACCCTAGAAACGAGACTTCTAGAATCAAATCATGGCAAGATCAACACTAAACAGCCAACTACCAAATTAGCCTGATGACTTGTCATTTATGGAGGGCACTGTGACTGTCAGAAAATTATGTGCACCTTATGGTCACGAGGCTAGGAAGGTGGGAGTATGAAAAGGATCTACAGAACATACTTGTCAGAAACCTCCAATCCAGCCTCCGGTCTTACTTTAACTTGCTGTGTGCCATCAGAGAAACCATTCAACACCTCTTGGCCTCAGCTTACAGGCTTAAGACAAAGGCGATATAAGTTTCTAAGAGCACAAAATAATAGCTGTGAAAATGCTTGTAAACCACACAAATTTGTAACAACATTGCTTCCATCTCTTGGAGGAAGGGAAAAATTAAATGCATTGGAATAATCAGAGATGATTGACGGCAGGATGAGACTCATCACAGCATTCTCTGTTGCACCACGGCGCCTCACAAGACCCCTTGTCCTCACGGATATCCCAGAGCTTTTGAAGTCCTGTAAACCAGCTTCTTTTATTTTCTCTGCTTCTACAGTAACCCAGATTCTCCTCTTCTCCCTTACAGGATTTTTTTTTTTTAATTATATTGGTTCCTCTAATAAGAGCATGCAATCATTCTTAGAAAATATCTTTAAAATAAGTATATTTTCTCATACTGAGGAAAACAGAGACCAAGAAACATTAGTGGCTTATTTACATTTGAAACCATTTCTAGTCATTCCTCTTTTCAATACTTAAAACTCAATGTGTCCCAAACTATTCAGTCTCAAAAACATGCACATATTTTGACAACTCCTGCTTTCTATCCCCACCCTCTAATTAGGAAATCCTGGCTGATCTGTTACATATCCCAAGCAGTCAAGGAGAAGGTACCTCTCAGATATGAAAAGTCATCAAATATGTGTTTATATTAGTCACAATCATTGTCCCTTAAGAGTAATTTACACAATCCATGTGACCAAACACTACATCAGCATGTCTAATAAGAGTCAAGTTTCACAAAGGAAAGGGCAATTTTATAATGCTTATAAAATAACCATTCACTAATAATCATCCTTCTGGACTCTTCTTCTAGCAGGTATACAGAGGATATCTACTGTCAGAAATTTATGATGTGTTATGTCAACATCAGAAAAACACTGCCAAAATCAAATTTTCAATGAGCATCTGTCAAGTAGGGTGAACAAAAGTTGAATGTCATTATTAACTATTTTGAAATGCATTTATCTTGGTAGCTTGCCCCTGGGAACATACCCAAATTAAAATTAAAGCCAAAATTTTTAAAATTTCAAAATTAAGCCCAGACATCATAAAAATATAGAGCTGAGGCAGTGAAGCCTCTAAGCATAGGTTCATACAAAGCTCTTTTGACTTGCCTGGCATGCTTCTTTTAAGATGAACAGTGGGTCAAAACTCTAAACCATGTTCAGAACTGCTGGAGGGCCTTTCCAGTGATGCTATAATTGTTAAGATTTTCATTAAATCTAAGTTTTGCACCTCTGGTGGCTCCTCTCTATGATAAAGAAGACCAGCAAGTAGCTCAGGTCCCTCTGAGCTGCTTCCAACCCCTCTGTCCCTTGTTCAAAGAAAGAAAATGGCCTTTCAAAAGACTCTGTAAAAGAGATAAACTTAAGTCACTGTAGCTACAAAATTTATGAAGCTTTCACTAAAAAAATGCTAAGCCTGAGTAATAGCTTCTAAACCTCCTATACATTCTTTCACACTGAAATGTCACAAACTCACAATGAGAAAAATTCTTTAGAATCCTAGAATCTGGAAGGACTCTAGAAGTTTCTTACCGTAGCAAAGAGAAGACATCATAAGAATTTCTAACACAGTTCTGATCCACCTGAAGAATATTCTTCCGAGCATTTGAATAACCCTGAAAGACATTAACAGAGACAGTAATCAAAAGCAAATCTGTGCACCAATTAATCATGTTTCCTTCTTTTAAAATATGAGTTATAAACACCTAAATAAATTTAAATTGTCAGATTTCCAAAAGTATAATTTCCATATAACTAAAGTCTAACCTTTCAAACAAGTGAATTTAAAACAAATTTCTTTCTCACAGTTTCCCACAGAAACAATATACTACATTATAAATTGTAGTAAACTTCCTTGGAAACTTCAGAAGTCCTTCTACCATGTGACTGAAGAACAGTATTAATAATATTTCAGCTGTGCCTACCCATCATACGTGATGTTTTTAATGGAGAAAAGCCCAAGTTCTCAGGAATATAAGGCACAAATACTTCCACTCAGAGGTAAAAAGGGGCACTGGTGTTTTCTAACAAGAAAACAGAACAATTCCATTAATAAGAATAGGACAGGTCTCTCTCTTATTTAAGAAAAGCAGCATAAATAGTAATTAAGAAAAAAAGATTAAGAGACACATACAAGAATCCTCTACTCTACAACAGCAATATAAACATTTTTCTCAAGTGTACAGAGGACATCCTCCAGAATAGATATGTTCAGCCATGAACCGTATCTCAGTACCCTTTTTTTTAAAACTGAGACTGGAACTTAGGGCCTTGTACTTGCTAGGCAAGTGCTCTACCACTTGAGTGATACCTCCAATCCTTTTGCTTTTAGTATTCTTGTCAGATAAGAGTCTTGTACTTCCCCCTCCTCTCCACTAGCCTCAAACCATAGTCCTACTACCTTTGCCTCCCAAGTAACTGGGATTATAGGTGTATACCATCATACTCAGCCTCTATATATTTTAAAAAATGAAATCATACAAATTATCTTCTCTGATGATAAGGAAATAAAACTAGAAATCAATAACAAAAATTTGAAGAATTCACAAATGTGAAAGGAAATAACACATTCTTAGATCAGAGAACAAATCACAGAGTAAATTATGAAATGCTTTGAGATGAATAAAAACAAAAAAATATTTTATCAAAACTTATGGGGTACAATGAAAAAGAGCTCAGAAAAAAATTTAGGGCTACAAATACCTCATTTTAAAAGAAGAGCTCAAATCAGTAACCTAACCTTCCACCTTAAGGAGTTAGAAAAAGAAAGGGAAACTAAACCCAAAGCAGGAAAAAGGAAATAATAAAGATTGCAGTAGAAAACCATGAAATAAGAGAATACAAAAGTAATGTGGAAAATCAATAGAACCAGAAATTAGTTCTTTGAAAAGATCAACATCACTGACAAATCTTCAACTAAACTAACCAAGGAGAAAAGAAAGAAGACTCAAGCCACTAAAATCAGGAATGAAAATAGGACATTATCATTCTCACAGAAATTAAAAGGATCATAAAAAATACTATAAACAATTATATAACAATAAATCAGATAGCTTAGATGGAATGTAATTTCCTAGGAACACAAACTACCAAACAGAACTCAAGAAGAAACAGAAAATCTTAACAGACCCATAACACATAAAGAGGTTGAATCAGTAATTATATGACTTGGAGAGCAAGAATAAATAAAAATTGATTTTAAAGAGATCAGATGGTTTGGGGAATTCTATTGTCTAAAGAAAAAAATACCACCAGTCTTTGAAGACTTTGGTCTTTAAAAAAAAAGGAAGGAAGGAAGGAAACCAGGCAAAAAGGAAACACTTTTTTTACTTAGAGATAAATTTAATCAATGGAATTAAAGATCTGTACATTAAACACTGTAAGACACAGATGAAAGAAACTGAAGATACAAATAAAAGCAAAGCTATCTCATGCTCATGCATCAGAAATTATATTGTTAAAATTTCAATACTACCCAAAACAATCTACAAATTCAATACAAATGTTAACAAAATCCAAAGTCATTTTTACAGGAACAGAAAAAAATCCCAAAATTCATAAGGAGCCACAAAAACCCTCAAATAACCAAAAGAATATGAAGTAGAAAGAACAAAGCTGAAGGAAACACATTGCTTGATTTCAAAATCTACTTCAAAGAATTCTTGGTATTCTCAATATTGTGAAAAATACTATATATAAATACACACACACACACATTATATCATCTTCCACTAAAGGTTTTTGAGTTTTGTTTTGGCAGGCAATGAAATTACCCTCAGCTTTCTCTATTCTGCAATTCTTGGTATTTTTTTTTTATTAGAGAAAGAATATTTTTGTTTTCTCCATAGTCCTAAGACACTATCATTATTTGGTGCATGGTTCTTACTACTAAGTTGTGGTCACTGTGGAACCTTTCAATTTTTTTTTTCCAATACTCTTCAAGCAAATTTCAACTTCTTCTGCAGCTTTTTTTTTTGTATTTGTTTTTCCCATATTGTGGATACATGGTGACATTTTAAAAGGTTCTTACAATATATAAGAGTTGAATTCACCTACTCCATCACTCTCCTTTATCTCCCTCCCACACCCCAATTCCTGGAATAGTTTCAACAGGTCTCATTTTTCCATTTACATACATGAGTACATAATAAGGAAACACTTCTTTAACTCATTCTATGAGACCAGTATTACCCTGCTATTAAAGCCAGATGAAAACATCAACTATAAACCAATATACCTTATGGATACAGATTAAAAAAACTCTTTTAGAAAATACTAGCAAAACTAATCTAGCAGCACACTGAAAGTATTATACCATATGATCTGGCAAGCCTTTCTGGGTACATTTCCCAAAAGAACTGAAGCAAGGAGCTACTGTGCACCTATAGTCATAGTAAGTATTCACAATTGCCAAGGGGCAGAAACAACCCAAGTATCCACAAACAGGTGAACAGAGAGACAAATGTGGTTTCTTTATGAATTTAGTCTTGAAAAGGAAGAATATTCTAGCACATGCTACAACATGGATGAACTGAGAACATTATGCTAAGTGAAGTAACACCAATCGAATGACAAATACCATATGATTCCACTAATATGAAAAACCTAATGTAGTTAAATTCATAGAAACAAAGTAAAAGTGACTGCCAGGGCCGACGAGAAGAGGAACACGAGAAATTACTGTTTAAAGGGTAGAAAGTTTCACTTTTGCAAGATGAACTAGATGGATGGTGGCAATGGTTGCACAACAATGAATGTACTTTATATCACTAAACTGTATACTTAAATGGTTAAGAGGATAAATTTTATCTTACATATAATTTATAATTTAAAAAAAATTTTAAAAGATCATACCTATGACCAAATGGAATTCATGCAGAGTACCCAAGGGTGGTTTAATATATGAAAATCATTCAATATTTATAATATACTACAAAACACATGGACATCTCAATGCAGAAAGAGCATTTGACAAAATCCAACACCTTGTCATAATTAAAAAAAAAAAATCAAACCCCAAAGCACCAAAACAAATTCAACAAACTAGAACTAGAAGGAAAAGTAGTAGATTTGAAAAAGGGTATCTACTAATCACTCACAATCAACAGTACACTCAACAGCTAAAGACCACAAGTCTTCCCTCCAAGATCAAGAACAAGACAAGGGTGACTCCTCTACTATTCAATACCATACTGTAAGTTCTAGCTAGAACAATTTGGCAAGAAAAATAAAGTGTATACAAACTGGGCCAAAATAAATGCAATGACATTCCATGTTCATGCATTAAAGAGTTAATAGGTCAGGATGGCAACAACAGCCCAAGCAACTTGCAGATTCAATACCACCTCTATCAAAATCCTTACAGTGTTTTCTACAGAAAGAAAAAAGGCAATTTCCAAATTCACATGGAACTAGAAGAGGCTGACAAATAGCAAAAACAGTATTTAAAAAAAAAAAAAAGAACAAAGAAGTCTCATTCTTCCTGATTTTAAAATTTACTACACAGCAACAGGATGGTACCAGCATAAGGACAGCCACATGAATCAATGGAATAGAATTCAGAATCCAGAGCTAGACCCACACATCTATGCTCAATTTTTTTTTTTTTTTGGTGCTACTGGGGTTTGAACTCAGGGCTTCACACTTGCTAGGCAGGTACTCTACCACTTGAACCACTCTGCCAACCCTTTTTGTGCATGTGTGTTGGGTATTTCCAAGATAGGGTCTTGTGAACTATTTGCCTGGGCTGGCCTTGAACAGAGATCCTCCTGGATCGCTGCCTCCAGAGTAGCTAGGATTACAGGCATGAGCCACCAGTGTCCTGCTCAAGTAATTTTTCTATAGATAAGTAAGCTTTATTAAACAGCAATGACTTGTCACATAAGGTGTCCTTAAAGGACCATTATACGTATAAATTTTTAAGTTTTTATTTTATTTTTGAATTATCATATATTAATACTACAAGGGAATTTCATTGTGACAATTCCATACATGCATACTGTTCGAATGATTGTTGACAAAGGTGCGAAGGCTATTTGGTGGGGAAATAATACTCTTTTCAACAAATGGTACTGAAACAACTAGATAGTGACATGCAAAGGAATGAAGTTGGAACCTTCCCTAACAACATACAGTAAAATTATCTCAAAATAAATTAAAGACCTAATAAAATAAGCTTAAAAACTTGCCAGGTATGGTGTCACCTGCCTGTAATCCCAAAACTGGGGAGGCTGAGGTAGGAAGATTGTGAGTTTGAGGCCAACCTGGGCTATAGAGAGTTCAAGGCCAGCCTAGACTATATAGAGACCATATCTTGAAGAAAAAAATAATAAAAGTATTTGAGGAAAACACAGGGGGTGAATCTATGTAACCTTGGATTCACCAACGGATTCTTAGATAGGACATTAAAAGCATGAACAAAAATAAATCATTGATAAATTAGACTTTGTGAAAATTAAAATCTTTTATGTATCAAAGTACACTAGAAAGTAGAAAAACAACTCACAGAATGGGTTAAACTATTTCATAAATCATGTACCTGATAAAGGCCTAATATCCAAAGTACATAAAGTACTCCCTAATTTTAAAATGGGCAAAGCACCAGAAGGGACATTTC